GAGCACTGCCCCCTAGAATCAGGAATGACTAGCACGCATGTCTGAGGGGAACCTTTACCTTTACCTTAAACACCTTTTCTGATATTGTTGTTTTAAATTATACAAATATAACTACACAATTTATTTTATTCTGGCTGTGTTTTTTACACAGTATACTATTTGGGCGGAACCAAGTGAAGGACTGACTTGTTTGATCCATGGTGGTGAAGTCATGGAACATAAGTATATGCACAAATGATTAATGGAAACTTAGCAAAAAACCAGAAACTTGTTTATATTACATTGGTAGTACAACTACAGCAAATTCTCAGTTATATATACTATCTGAAGCTGATGATAAGTTTTACTTCTCCTGTCAGGGAGAAATTGTTTAGCTAGTAGTTTTGTCACAAGTGTGCTGTTACCATACTTTGTATATTAAATGTAGAAACCATAAATACAATCATGACTTACAATTTATTGCATACTGTGCTTCAGCATAGGATTCAAACAAAGGAGAATGAAATATAGTGCAGTCTGGAAAATATGCCTCAAATTGTTTATGGGATGTTCTAATAGCTGCTCTGGTGTTGTTGTTTTTTAAGAATAAAGAGTACATCCCCACTTCTTTCAAATATATCCTGATCCACCAAACTCCTGAAATAGGTAAAATGTATTTCCAAGTTGTGAATTTCTCACAGATTTCCCCTGATTGCAGTTGTCAAGTTCCAAAATTCAGCTCACCACCACGGGGCTATCAGTCATGTTGCTGCTACTTCGTTTTATTTTCCTGGGAGCTATAGTAAACCAGACAGTTAAAAGAAAGAACAAAAATCAGATTGGTCAAAAATGGGCCATATTTTCCTAATCCATCACCTGTTGTCATCTTTACACCCTATATACCTGAGGATTTTCAGTAGAAAAGAGTAATGTTGCAAACAACAGCTCTCATAAACTAATGTCTGGAGAAAAGATCCATGCAATAACAGTGGGGGCATTTATAGGGACATAATAAAAGTGTGTTACATGTCTTGTGGTATAAAAAAAGAGGAAAAAGTAAGAGTGATTTCCCAAGTCTTGGGAACATATGCCTCAGCTAAAATGTTAGGCAAATGTCCCTTGCCAACCAGGTTTCTGATGTATTAAGAAAGAAAAGATCCATCTTCTTTCCTTTCTCTCGCTCTTTTTCCTCCCCTCTGAGAGGTTTTAATGGGCGAATATTGCAAATATTTGTCAAATAAGAAGGCACAGTTAAGATATTTAGAAAAGACTTTGCAAGCAAGCAGGGTGTCAGCGGGTTTTGTTTTATAATCTCTTAGCCCAAACTTGTGCAGGCCAATCAAACAAGTAAAAATATCTATATTTTCACATATACAGCAGATTTTTGTGAAAACGTGTCACTGGGGTGGAGATGCTGACAGGGCTCTGATCTTCAGGGGGGCAACATATCTTTGAGCCCACAACTGAGTGACGATCAGAACAGCAGTGCCAAGGATGGCTTTCTCAGAAGCTCTCTGACTTTTCATACAGGATGCCACAGGGCAAATTTGTATTTATAGTCTTGCTGGCTGTTCTGTCATCTAATTGGGGGAAAGTATTCCCAAAGGTATAACTGTGTGGGTCACGTGGGATTATATATTCCCTTGTGACCACTATATAATAACACCCCCAGGCCTGTGAAACAGAGAAAAGCTAGCTTGCCAAAATAATACATTGATTCAATCCCACTGAGAGATGAGAACAACATACTTCTTCTTCGCTCCCCCATTTCCCATTTAGCCGTCTGCTGCAGAAAAGGTGGGAATAGCCAGTTTCAAGAAATCGGCAAGCCTTGGGACTGGTGGTTTTGTTGAGGCCTCAAGTGCCATTTATCAGCATCCTAATGAGCCATCCTAGGGAAACAGATAAAGAGGAGCATTGAAAAATGCACAATATTAGGTGCCTGATGAGCTAAATCTCATCAATAAGACACTGTGTGAGCATTAGCTATACTGCCTCAGGCCTCTGCATATACACAGGCATTCACATGCCAAGCTCATACATCCCACTGAGTCCTATAGTTTCAGTTCATTCTTCCTTTCTCCAACGTGGTGCTCTCCACCTATATTGGATTACAACTCACCGATTTCCTAGTGAATGTAACTATTGATTATGCTACTGAAGGATACTAGGTCAGCAGGTAGCTGTTCCATAAAAAAAAATACACTTAACTGTATTTGGGGTATGAAACATCAGCATTGTGTAGACACCATTATAAGCACAATAGCAAGCTGTCCATAGGATTTTTCCTCATTTTATTTTTGTCTTTGGTTCTTTTTCTAGATGAGGTGAGCTTGAAACCACGAACTCATTTTATAAAATTCATCCTATATTGGCTGTAGGAGCATTCCTAATCATTTGACATAATGGAATTTTTAGATCTGTGTCCTTAGAAGATTGAGCAGCAATTTTTTTTCATGACCCCAGGGGAAAGTGCTGTATACCTGAATGCAGAGTCGAGCAGTGGTGTCTGTGACATGTATTGGACGCTATCTCCCTCTTCAGTTATGAAGTGTTATTTCTAATGTTGCTGATCAGCACTTAATCCCTGCTGCTCAGAAAAGAGAGAAAGGTTTGAGGTTGTTATAAAACATAGCTGCTTGCCTAAAGATACCAGGGTATATTTCCCCCTTTTTAACAAAATGATGGCGGTGGATGCTTATGTGAAGAAGAAAGTGGGATTCAGAGTTCTAAGAACCCTGAAGCAGAATTTAGAATTTAAATGGAGGTAAACTCAGTGAATGGGACACAGTGGCTCAGTGGCTAAGACGCTGAGCTTGTCGATCAGAAACGTAAGCAGTTCAGTGGTTCGAATCCCTAGTGCCCCATAACGGAGTGAGCTCTCGTTACTTGTCCCAGCTTCTGACAACCTAGCAGTTCGAAAGCATGTAAAAAAAAAAAACCAAGTAGAAAAATAGGAACCACCTTTGGTGAGTAACAGCATTCCATGTGCCTTTGGCATTTAGTCATGCCGGCCTCATGACCATGGAGACATCTTCAGATAGAGCTGGTTCTTCGGCTTTGAAATGGAGATGAGTACTTCCCCCTAGAGCGAGGAACGACTAACACATATGTGCGAGGGGAACCTTTACCTTTTACTTTAAACTCAGTGAATTGTGCTTTAGTAGGTTCCCTTTCGTTTGGTTTATGTTCCTATCATAGCAGCATATTGTGCTCTGAATGGATTAATTTATTTATTATTTTAGTTTGCTTGTGAAATA